TTGCTTGGGCCTCTGGCTCTGCTTGCCTTGGCAGAGAGGAGGGGGCTCCTTGGGAGGCGCAAACAAGTGGAATGGGGTCCAAGGCTGGGAGGCCACTCCACACACACACACACACACACACACACACACAGAGCCAGGTGTTCCTCTGGAGGGAGGAGGCCTAATCCCCTAATTGCAACTAATCCCCCTAATTGCAGGGTGCGGAGGACAGAGGCCTTTCCTCTCACCTGACTGCCTCCAGCTGCCCTCACAGGTGAGACACAGGTGAGGCTGGCTTGCTTTTGGGGGGAGGGGAGGCAGAAGAGGGCCCAAAGGGTGGCCTTGGGGAGGAGGAGGCCTTGGGCAGAGATGGGGGCTGACCACAGTCCCCACTCTCTCCGCCACCCAAGACCACCCACCCGTTCCGTGACTTGCATTAGGAGAACGGCTGAGACAAGAAGCAGTTGCCCGGGGTCCTCAGAACCCTTCGGAAGGAAGGAAGGAAGGAAGGAAGGAAGGAAGGAAGGAAGGAAGACCGGGAACAGGCGGTAGCCTTGCTTTCCTCTCTGCCTTTTGCTGGCATTCCTCTTCTATATGCATGCCTCTTTGGCCTTCTGTGCCTTGGAAGCTTTGAAACAGAGGCTGGGTGGCCATCTGTCAGGGGTGATTTGAATGCAATCTTCCTGCTTCTTGGCAGAATGGGGTTGGACTGGATGGCCCAGGAGGTCTCTTCCAACTCTTGGATTCTAGGATTCTATGAACACAGCTCACCAATGAAGGTGATGCCCTTGATTCAGGGGCCTCCTGATGCCCGAGTGACCAAGTGACCGCTGCCCTAAAGGAGAGGGAACTGCTGAATGGTGGGGGCCAGCCAGAGGCACAAGGGGGCAGCTGGGGCACCAAGAGGTCTCTTGCACGGGGAAGAGTGTGGATACGACTCGGAATGGCTTTGTAGTCATGTTGATGTTTGATGAGATGTTTTTTGATAATGATGAATTGTGGATTATTTTACACTATGTTTTGTATTCTGCACCTGTTTTCTATGTTGTACACCGCAATGAGTCGCCCTTGGGCTGAGAATTGCGGTATATAAGCAAAGTAAATAAATAAATAAAATAAATAAATAAATAAATATTTCAATCAGTAAATAGGAGAGAGATGGCTGGGCTAGCAAGAATGGGACAGCGTGCTCCAAAAAGAGGAACTGGCTGCACATTTCTTCTGGTCAAGCCCCCCCCCCCTCAGGTTTGCCTCGTGTCAAAAGGTCTCAGGCTGCCAGTCATGAGCCGTATTGGGGTCCCAGATGAGATGGTGCTTTTGCTGGGGGAACTGGGACAGAAATCAGGCCTGTGTTTACTTAAGGGGTTTTACAGCCCTAAACGGTTCCGGCCCAAGATACCTTTCCAACCACATCTTGGCCTATGAACCCACCAGAACTTTGAGATCTTCCGGGGAGACCCTGCTCTCGATCCCGCCTGCTTCTCAAGCACATCTGGCGGGGATGAGAGATAGGGCCTTCTCGGTGGTGGCCCCTCGGCTGTGGAACGCCCTTCCTACAAACATTAGGCTGGCGCCATCTCTCATGGCATTCCGAAGAAAGTTGAAGACCTGGATGTTTGTGCAGGCGTTTGAGTAATTTAGTGCAATCTGGTAATGGAACATAGGAATGGAACAATGGACGACGAACCTGGACTACGCTTGGATGATGAGAAGACTGGGTACGGTTGTTTTTTGTAATAATTGTGCATTGTAATTGCTTATTGGTAATTTATGGATAATGTGTTAAGTCAATTGTTATATGTTGTATGGAACCACTGCTGTTTCTACTGTTTTTACTGTTTGTGAACCGCTGTGAGTCGCCTTCGGGCTTGAGATACAGTGGTATATAAGCAAAGTAAATAAATAAATGAATAAATAAATACAGCGGCCTAAAAGTCCCAAGGGAATTTGGCCTTCTGCTGCAAAGGCTGCCTGTTTCCTCCCTGAGTAGCTCTGCTCCTCTTCCTTCTGCACTCTTCTTCTTCTTCTCTCTGAAGGAAGGCAAAGGTGCTTCCTTTAACTCTGAAAGCAAGACAGGTCAGGGTCTGAGGATCTTCCAAGGCGTTCATTTATTATTATTATTATCATCAGCATGACTGCAATCTCTTGTGTCCCCAGCACCGAGTGCTGATCAGTCGCCCTTTAGTGATTGCAGTGAGTGCAGCTTCCTTAACGGCGCTGGGAGACGATCAGAAAGGAGAGGAAGGAAAGCACAGCCCTGAAGGTGAGCCTGGATGAAGGGATGGGAGCCACCTCGTCAAACAGAGCTTGGAGGAAACGCTCTCTCCTGGAAACTCCCCTTTGCCTGGACTTTGGGAAACTTCCTTTGGTTGGACTGCAAGCCCCGCGTTTGGCTGAAGGCAGTGCTTGCCAAGGTGTCCGAAACAGAGCGGAGAGGCCTGCTCTCCTCTGCCCGGAGCAAGTGGGTCATATGTCATCCTTGCCTGTGGGGCACGCTCTGAGCAACTGGGGCTGACCGTCCGCGCATGCCAGGCCCCTGGGGCTTCACGTGGGGCCACTCTCCAGCCAATTCAAGAGAGATATTGACAAGCTGGAATGCGTCCAGAGGAGAGCGACTAAAATGATAAAAGGTCTGGAGAACAAGCCCTATGAGGAGCGCTTAGGGAACTGGGCATGTTTAGCCTGAAGAAGAGAAGGCTGAGAGGAGATATGATAGCCATGTATAAATATGTGAGAGGAAGCCACAGGGAGGAGGAGGGAGCAAGCTTGTTTTCTGCTTCCCTGGAGACTAGGACGCAATGGAACAATGGCTTCAAACTACAAGAGAGGAGATTCCATCTGAACATGAGGAAGAACTTCCTGACTGTGAGAGCCGTTCAGCAGTGGAACTCTCTGCCCCGGAGGGAGTGTGGTGGAGGATCCTTCTTTGGAAGCTTTGAAACAGAGGCTGGATGGCCATCTGTCAGGGGTGATTTGAATGCAATATTCCTGCTTCTTGGCAGAATGGGGTTGGACTGGATGTCCCAGGAGGTCTCCTCCAACTCTAGGATGAACTTCCCGACTGTGAGAGCCGTTCAGCAGTGGAACTCTCTGCCCCGGAGTGTGGTGGAGGCTCCTTCTTTGGAAGCTTTTAAGCAGAGGCTGGCTGGCCATCTGTCAGGGGTGATTTGAATGCAATATTCCTGCTTCTTGGCAGAATGGGGTTGGACTGGATGGCCCAGAGGTCTCTTCCAACTCTTTGATTCTATGATTCTATGATTCTTGGCTTTGGGTCTTGAAATCCCAGGGTCTGAGGTCTTCCTGATTCGGCAAAGACCACCCAACGGATACAGCTGAGGGTGGGGTTGGGGGGCAGGAGGGGGATGGGTTACTGCTTGACCAGTTATGAAATGCTCAGCTGGGGCCTGTCTGGTCTGCAAAGGGGTCACTGGGGGATTGCCCTCGTGCAAGGGGCACATTCCATTCTGCAGGGATTAGAGCTCCTATGTCCCCCCCATATTTGTTTGGAAGCCTGGCTGGGAGTTGGGTGAGGTCATGGCCCCACGTGCCCCCTCCCTCCTCCCCTCCCTCCTCCCCCTCCCTAGGCTAATTTGCATAGAGCCAGTCGGTCAGCAGGGAGGGCAGGTGGGTCACGGCCTGCAGGCGCAGCCACCAGCGGGGCTCCATGGGGTTGTAGCGGGCGTAGGGCAGCCGGGCGAGGAGGGCCTCCGTGATGTCGTCCAAGACAGGGCTGAGGTCACTCAGGCCACTGCGGACAAAGGCCTTCATGCGGCCCACCTGCTGCCGGAAGGAGGCCTCCCCGTAGTCGGCACGGACGCCTTCGCTGGCCCGGCCCCACATCTCCTGGGCCGCGGCCTCCACGCCCTCCTCCGTGAAGATGCCGGTGGCCGCGATGTAGTTGCTGGGCTCGACGGCCACCACGGCCACCCCCCAGGGGCGCATCTCCTGGCGCAGGCAGTCGGTGAAGGCCTCCAGGCCAAACTTGGAGACGCAGTAGGAGGAGCGCAGCGGACTGGCCACCCGGCCCAGCGCACTGGTCACGTTGACCACCCGGCCTGCAGAGAGAGACACAGAAGGGGGTACATATCGCAGGGAGGGGCAACATCCCTGCCCCATGTTACCTAGTGAATGGACCACAGGAGGCAGGTGAGGTCCAGGTGAGAACCCAGTTCAGTCTTTGCAAAACTCAGGGAACTGGAGGAACCTTTCACGGTGGGTTGTGTCATGTTGGGGGTCTTTCGGTCCAAGGACACTTTGGGAGAGGAGGTCCCCATTTGGCACAGGCAGAGGAGCCCCTTCCACCCTGCCACTGCCTCCCTTCCTGTCCATACCTTTGGCCATGCGGACGAGGGGCAGGAAGGCCTTGGTCAAACGAATAGCGCCCCACAGGTTGACCTCTGCCACCTCCCGGTACCCGTCCAGGTTAGTGAATTCCACCTCCCCAAAGGAGGTCACGCCAGCGTTGTTCACCAGGCCCCACAAGCCTGAGGGCAGAAAGAGGGTGGGGTGGGGTCACTGCAAGCCCCTCCTTCTCCCCAGAGCCCCTCAAGGCACACGTACCTGGAGGCGGGACTCACCTTGCTGGGGCTCCTCCAGGCTCTCCTGCACAAGGCTCAGAGCCCGGTCCACCTCCTCCTGGTTGCAGATGTCCAGCTGCAGAACCTGCAGGCGCTCGGACCGCAGGCTGGCCAAGGCTCGGGCGCCGTCTCCCCCTTGGTCCTGGGCAAGAGGAGGGGGAGAAGGAAGGCCTTGGCCCATGCTCCCCTTGGCCACTTGGGGGTCAAGTGCCCTTTGGCCCCAGGCCCTTCAGGCAGGGGAGGGGAGGGTGAACAACAGGGCTGCATAGGCCCCACTTCCATCCCAGGGGAAACGTCGTGGCCACTGGCCTTTGGATCCTGGGATCTGCAGTTGGTCAGGGATGTGCCTTGAATGCCCCTTTTGGAGACCTATCCCCCCCCAACCCTTCCTGCAGGAGGGAAGAGAGGCAAGGCTGTGGCCCCCAGGGAGTGGGGGGTTCCCCCTTTGACCCCCAAAGACCGCCATCTCCGGGGGGAGGGGGCTTCTCTCCCTGCTCCTGCCAAAGGGAAGGGGCACCCATCTCTGCCCATTCAGGGCCACGCAGAAATGGGACCTGCAGGCCCACCATCTTTGCATGAAGGGCTGGGGTGGAGAAAGAAGGTGCCTGGCCTCACCTGCCTGCTCTTCCTGGGGAGGGCTCTCTCTCTCCCTGCAGCCCAGAGGGAGGGAGGGAGGGAGGGAAGGAGAGTGGTGCTATTCTGGCTGACGGGTATCAGCCCCTCCCAACCTCCCTCCTTCCCCTTGCCCACCTGCAGAGAGACTCCCATGATCCCCAGTCCAGAAGGCACCTGCCTAGCTTGGAAGCTAATGCACCTGAGGGTTTTCCCAGCCATCACTGACTTTTTGGTTAGACCACATCTGGAATATTGTGTCCAGTTCTGGGCACCACAATTCAAGAGAGATATTGACAAGCTGGAATGTGTCCAGAGGAGAGCGACGAAAATGATAAAAGGTCTGGAGAACAAGCCCTATGAGGAGCGGCTTAAGGAGCTGGGCATGTTTAGCCTGAAGAAGAGAAGGCTGAGAGGAGATATGATAGCCATGTATAAATATGTGAGAGGAAGCCACAGGGAGGAGGGAGCAAGCTTGTTTTCTGCTTCCCTGGAGACTAGGACGCAAGAGAACAATGGCTTCAAACTACAAGAGAGGAGATTCCATCTGAACATGAGGAAGAACTTCCTGACTGTGAGAGCCGTTCAGCAGTGGAACTCTCTGCCCCGGAGTGTGGTGGAGGCTCCTTCTTTGGAGCTTTTAAACAGAGGCTGGATGGCCATCTGTCAGGGGTGATTTGAATGCAATATTCCTGCTTCTTGGCAGAATGGGGTTGGACTGGATGATGGCCCAGGAGGTCTCTTCCAACTCTTTGATTCTATGATTCTATGACTTCTGCCACTTTGCAGGCGGAAGGAATACTCAGAGGGGTCTTAACCAGGCCTGCGGGGGGGGGGGGGTGTTTGCCTGCAGTCCTTCTGGGCCTGGGAGGGAGGGGGAGCTCAGGATGGAAGGCCCCTCCCCGTGCGGGGCACCTGAGGCCCCGTCCCCAAAGGACCTTGGCTGGCTGCCTTCCTTGGAGACGTAAGCCCAAAGGGCTGCCAGGGACCAGAATAGAGCAGTGACGCCCAGGAACCTTGGCAGCAAGAATGGCCCCCAGGAGACTGGGTCCTCCGCCAGGAGGTAAACTGGGGGTCAGCCACACCCTTTGCTGTGCTGGAGGGAGAGAGGGAGGCAGGGAGGGGTGGGCCCCTTGTTGGTAGTAGCCTGTACCAGGATGGAAACATTGGCACCTGGCCAAAGTGGCTGAGCCCTGCTCCACTCGGGGTCAGCTGAGGGATCATGGGGCCAGGCCTCCCTCCTGCCCTTGGCCTCACCTCTGCTGCCCGGCCACTCACCTGCCCTTGGCCCCGCCCCCAAAGGACCTTGGCTGTCTGCCTTCCTTGGAGACGTAAGCCCAAAGGGCTGCCAGGGCCCAGAATAGAGCAGTGACGCCCAGGGACCTTGAATGGCCCCCAGGAGCCTGGAAGGGAGGGGTGGGCCCTTGTCGGTCTGGCAGGATGGAAACATTGGCTCCTGGCCCAAGGTGGCTGAGCCCTGCTCCGCTCGGGGTCAGCTGAGGGATCATGGGGCCAGGCCCCCCTCCTGCCCTTGGCCTCACCTCTGCTGCTCGGCCGCTGGCTCGCTCACCTGCAGAGTGTGGCAAGGCAGCCTGGCCGTGGTGACCTCCCCTCTGGAGCCATGGCCAGGTCAATCTCAGTGTGGTGGGGGAGGGTGGGGGGCCTCAGGCTCTGCCAGGCCCCAAATCAAAGCAGCCCCCCCTCCGCCTCCCCCCTCTCACCTTGAGCAGGCATCCGGCAAAGACGGTGAAGCCTCTGGAGTGGAGGTGCCTGGCCAGGGCATGGCCGAAGCCCTTGTCACAGCCGGTGATCAGCACGGCCTTCCCTTCGGCCTGCGGGAGAGAAGGGAGGGAGGGGAGAAAGGAATGGAGGGGGGGAAGGAGGGAGGGTCAAGTGGGGGGGGAGGCTGGAGGGAGCATATATTGGAGGGGGGAGCCTCCCCACTGCAGCCCCCACCCAGGACCCTCAGTGGATGCAGAGCACCTTCTTCCCCAGGTGGGCAGGGGCCACGCCCATTTGTGCTGAAGAGGACAGGCCTTGGCCAGGAAAAGAGGGGCCTCTCCCCACAGAGTGGACCCCCCCCCCACAACACACAAGGTGCTAAGGAGGGTGGCCAGCCTGGGCCCTCAGGACCCAATGGGGCTTGCTCATGGAGGCAAAGGAGAAGCGCCCGCTCCCTGCCCCCCTGAGCCCACTTTCCTGCCCAAGCACCCCCCCCCCCGCAGTCTTCAGAAGGGGGGTCCTCACAACCCACCGCCCTGTGCATGATGCCCACAGCCCCCTCCCACAGGACAAATCTTCATGGGCAGAGTCACAGATGAACCTGCATGGAATGGCCAATGTGCCCCCATGTTTGTGCTTGCTTGCACACCCAGGAACGCTATGGGCACAATCAGGGGTGGCTCAAGCCATTACGCAAAGTAAGCCTTTGCAGTAGAGTTGATTTTGCCCTCTTGAGGAGCTCTTGGGGGAAAATAGACCTTGACATATGCGAGTTGTAGTTACTGGGATGTATAGTTCACCTACAATCAAAGAGCATTCTGACCTCCACCAATGATGGAATTGAACCAAATATGGCACACAGAACTCCCACGACAAACAGAAAATATATAGGTTCTTGTGGTTTTTTTCGGGCTATAGGGCCATGGTCTAGAGGCATTCTCTCCTGACGTTTCTCCTGCATCTATGGCAAGCATCCTCAGAGGGAGTGAGGTCTGTTGGAACGAGGAAAATGGGTTTATATATCTGTGGAATGACCAGGGTGGGGCATATAAACCCATTGTCCTATTTCCAACCTCTGAGCATTACCTAGGGCCGCCTCTAGGCACAACTCCATTTCTGCCACCTTGGTCTGTTGGGGTTTGTGGGGCGGGGGGGTTGGGTTTCTTAGCTGTGGGGCACATGTGCCTGTATCCCCCCCCCCCCCACTGGTCCCAGGCCTACAGAGACCTGGCAAGAGTGGAGCCCCCACTCCAAAAAGGAACCTTAAAATTGCATTATGGGAGTGGTAAGAAGAGTCCAGGAAGGCTGTGGCTCGAGAAGGATGTCCCAGGGTGGACCCCACTGAGAGGTTCAAGCCGGTCTGCTTGCACGGCCAAAGACAATAAATGCGTTCAATGACGGAACTTGAATGCCCCATTAGTTTGCTGATAGATGGAGCTGCACCGGGCCAAAGAGGAGCAGGAGAGTGACCGCAGAACACTCAAATGATAGATGATTAAATCCCTGTGCAAAGAAGAAGGGGGGGAGGCCCTTGCCAAGGGAGTGCACCCACCTTCAGGGACATGGAGCCCTGCCCAACCCCCCAACCTACCTCTCTCCCCCCGAACAGCCAGGAACAGGAAAGGCATGGAAGGTGTGATCCTGATTGCTTGGGATTGAATGGGATGCCCCCCCCCCCCCACGCACTCCTTGGTGTAATTGATAGCACTACACTATGTCATACGACTGGAAAAACAAATCCTGTTCCTGGCTTGAAAGTGTTCTTCCTCCTTTAATTGTGCAGTCCTCACTTGTTGTTCTCCTCCGGAAACTTAGTGTGCTTGTGTCTGCCACAAAGTTGGTTGCCATGGGTTGAGACTCGGGGGGGGGGGGGGGGAGAGGGGGGTTCCCTTGGAAAACTAGACTGAAAGAAATGTGCTGCAGACAGGCCCGTAGCCAGGATTTCGTTTCGGGGGGGGGGGGGCTAAAACTTTTTCGGGGGGGTTTCGGGGGGGGCTGAGTCTGAGTGAAAGAGGGTCTAGCCTAGCTCCCAATACCCCCATGCATATGGGATATATTGAGTATGGTGATCAGATCATCATATGAATAAACATAACAGTTTAAATAATGCACCAGTAAGGCCTTTTCGCGAACCACCATGAGAATTTCGGGAGGGGGGGGCTGAAGCCCCTCAAGCCCCCCCCCCCCCGGCTACATGCCTGGCTGCAGGGCGATGTCCCTCCCTCCCACAAAAATAACACCAAGTTTTTGCAGTTTAATAAACATTTTCCATGTTTGTGTGATAGAAGCAATTGGGAAAGAATGACATGGATAAGCCAGGAACAAAAATCATAGTGTTTCCGTGTTTTTGTGATAGCCACAACTAGGAAAGAATGACAAGGATAACCCTGGAACCATAACCACAGTGTGACAACAGCCTGTGTGCCTAGAGACCACCCCCAAGTTATACCCGAGGGAAAGGGTCCTCGACTGCCCACCAGGACTGTGGCCCAGCTGGCTGGGAGTCAGCTGCATTAAGATCACTACTGACTGAGAGGTCATGAGCTTGAAGCCAGCCCGGGTGGGAGTGAGCTTCCGCCCAATTTGTGTAGCTTGTTGTCAACCTTTGCAACCCAAAAGAAAGTTGCATCTGCCAAGTAGGAAATTTAGGTACCACCTATGTGTGGGGAGGCTAATTTAACAAATTTACGAGGCCATAAAAAATCTCCAGCAAAAGCATGCGGGGAATGCGGAAAGTACTTCCTCAGTGTCGCAGATGGACCATGAAGCAACAGCTCCCCCAGTGGCCAGAAAATTGGAATGCTAAATAGTCTCTGAGTGTCTGTCTATACCTGTTATGTCAGCTCCACTGGCTGCCAATCCAACTCCGAGCTCAAGTCAAAGTGCTGGTCTTGACCTATAAAACTCTATACAGCTCCGGTCCAGCGTACCTGTCCGAACATATCTCCTTCTACGTCCCACCTCGGAGTTTAAGATTGCCTGGGGAGGCCCTGCTTTCAGCCCCGCCTTTGTCTGAAACACGCTTGGCGGGGACGAGGGACAGGGCCTTCTCAGTGGTGGCCCCCCACCTGTGGAATTTGCTCCCCGGGAAAATTAGGTCATTGTCATCCCTCCTCACCTTTAGAAAAAAGGTTAAAACGTGGCTGTGGGTCCAGGCCTTCGAGCAATCAGGTTAAAGGACAATCGATAATTTTGACTATGGCGTGGAAGAGGGTTTGGATAAGTTAAGCGGAGGAATCATTAGTAGATGGCTAACTAAACAGCCACCAGACGGGCAATAGCTAATCAGAGTGTCAGTATACTCTTTTAATCTTTATTTATTAATGTTCATGTTTAATTGTTATATTTGATATTCTGCATTTTATGATGCAGCATTGAATGTTTTCAAAATAAATAAATACATAAATAATATATGTGTTGTGTGTCTATGGCATTGAATGTTTGCCATGTATGTGTACGTTGTAATCCGCCCTGAGTCCCACGCAGGGTGAGAAGGGCGGAATAGAAATACTGTCAATAAATAAATAAATACTCTGTTCTTGTGGGTTTTTTCGGGCTATATGGCCATGTTCTAGAGGCATTTCTCCTGACGTTTCGCCTGCATCTATGGCAAGCTTCCTACCCCAATCCTTGCTTCCACAACAAGCCGAATTTCCTGCCATTCTCATAGAGACAGAACGGGAGGTGGCACAGGCAGCTTGAGTTTAATGTGCCGTTGAATCTGATGTGCAACTGAATTTCCAAAACCCTAAAACCCCCAAAATGCATTTGCTACTGAATGCCATGCACAGTGGCAAGAAGTCCCCCCTTTGCAATAAGGCCAAAAAAAAAAAAAGGTGTGCTTTAGAGTTGCAGTATTTTCTTTTCCCTGCTAGTGCAATTCACCCCTATTTTCGTCCCCGGACCCCCTGCCCAGATACATGACATGGCTCTCTCACCCGGTGTTTTTAAACTTTTCATCTTTGCAACCGGCCCTGCCCACTGTGCTCATTTTTTTTTCTTTTTTGTGTTCAATTATTGCTAAGGAAGAGGGGCCGACCAAGGGCAAGATGGATGGATGGCATCCTTGAAGTGACTGGACTGACCTTGAAGGAGCTGGGGGTGGTGACGGCCGACAGGGAGCTGTGGCGTGGGCTGGTCCATGAGGTCACGAAGAAGAATGATGCTGGGAAAGTGGAAGGCAAAAGGAAGAGGGGCCGACCAAGGGCAAGATGGATGGATGGCATCCTTGAAGTGACTGGACTGACCTTGAAGGAGCTGGGGTGGTGACGGCCGACAGGGAGCTCTGGCGTGGGCTGGTCCATGAGGTCAGCTAGAGAAGACAATCATGCTGGGGAAAGTGGAAGGCAAAAGGAAGAGGGGCCGACCAAGGGCAAGATGGATGGATGGCATCCTTGAAGTGACTGGACTGACCTTGAAGGAGCTGGGGGTGGTGACGGCCGACAGGGAGCTCTGGCGTGGGCTGGTCCAGGAGGTCATGCAGAGTCGGAGACGACTGAACGAATGAACAACAACAACAACATTGCGATTTTATATTGTTTGTTGTGCTTATTTATATTGTTTCTTGTATATTTTATATATATATATTACTGTTGGAACACCCTCCCTGCTGAAGTTAGACAGGCGCCCTCCTTGTTGGCCTTTCGGAGAGGCCTGAAAACATGGCTCTTCGAGCAGGCCTTCAACTGAGAGTACGTGGAACGACACTGGAATGGACTAGGATTATGAAATTGGCTATGACCCCAGGACTTGAGGACTTGACGAAGCGGATTTTAGTATAAGTATATGTTATGTTGTATTGTCTGGTTTGTATTGTCTAGTTTTATTGTACACTGTTCTTTCTGTTGTTGTTCACCGCCCCGAGTCGCCTTCGGGCTGAGAGGGGCGGTCAATAAATGCAAATAATAAATAAATAAATAATAATACTGTTGTATTCCTATGTTGTGTATTTGTATTACTCTATTGTGTAGTGTGATATAAATAAAGATGATGATGATGATAGCTTGCTGAGCCTTCCTTCTTTCCAAACAACTGTGTGTTGGAAAGCCAAAGTGTTCAGGAGCAGAAGAGAAAAACCCTCGGGGTGCCCCTAGGAAGGCACCCCCCTTCCTTGCCCTGGTTCCTTGCCAGGGAGGCTTGGGTGCTGTAGTTTTCCAAGGTCCTGAGCAGGCCCGGGCCAACCTCGGCCCCCCTCCTCGGGGGGGGGGGGGTTGGACTCCAACTCCCACAACAACTCCTACCAGCTTTCCCTCTCTGAGGAGCTCTTGTCGGTGTTGGGAGTCCAAAACCCTGGAGGAGGAGGAGGAGGAGGAGGAGGAGGAAGGGGAGGAGGAGGAGGAGGAGGAGGACGCAGGAGGCAGTTGTAAGGGCGGGGGGGGTCAGTGTCCCCTTGCACGACAGAGCCCCCCCCTGCCCCCCGGAGTGCGTTGAAGCGGTGCTGATTGCTTTGGATTGAGTTCGGACGCAGAAAAAGAGAGAGAATCACAGAAGAATCACAACAGAAGCAGAAGCCTTTATTGCTCTCCATTCCTCCCTCCGTCCGTCTTGGCCGGACTCTGGCCCGGGGGGGTGGGGGGGGCAAGGCGGTCAACGGGGGGGGGGGAGGAGGGCAGAGTCCTCTTGGCACGGCTCCAGAGCCGGGATCATTGGTCCAGATGGGTTGAGAGAGAGAGAGAGAGAGAGAGAGAGAGAGAGAGAATGGCCGAATCGCAGCCGAAGGAGCTGAAGCGGGGGTCGGGAGTGCCACGGAGACCCTCCCCCATTTCCCCCCCCCCCCGATTCTGGCCCAGAGGGAACCCGGGGGAGAAGGGGGAGGGAAGGGGGAGGAAGGGGGGCTTTGGATTGAGTTCGGACGCAGAAAAAGAGAGAGAATCACAGAAGAATCACAACAGAAGCAGAAGCCTTTATTGCTCTCCATTCCTCCCTCCGTCCGTCTTGGCCGGACTCTGGCCCGGGGGGGGGGGGGGTAAGGGGTCAACGGGGGGGGGTGTGAGTCCCTGCAGGGAGGAGGGCAGAGTCCTCTTGGCGCGGATGCCAAGCCGGGGTCATTGGTCCAGGTGGTTAAGAGAGAGAGATGGAATCAGAGCCGAAGGAGCCGAAGCAAGCGGGGGTCGGGAGTGCCACGGAGACCCTCCTCCATTCCTCAGCCCCCTCCCCCGATTCTGGCCCAGAGGGAACCCAGAGGGGGAGAAGGGGGAGGGGGAGGAAGGGGGGAGGAGGGGGCTGCCGCTGTCTCAGGTGAAGGAGAGAGGAGGAGGAGGGGGGCCTGGGGAGGGGGCGAGTGAGGAGGGGAACTCACGGGGAGGGGGGGCGCCTCCGAGGCGGGGCGGGCGCCGGGACAGGAGCAAGAGGGACCCCGGGGAGAAGGGGGAGGGGGACAAGGGGGGGGCTGCCGTCAGGTGAACGGGGGAGGAGGAGGAGGGGGGCCTGGGGAGGGGGCGAGTGAGGAGGAGGAGGAGGGGAACTCACGGGGAGGGCGCCTCCGAGGCGGGGCGGGCGCCGGGACAGGAGGAGCAGGGCCAGGAGGGCCAGGAGGAGGAGGGCGAAGGAGGGCGACCCCCACGGAGACCCCACCGGAGGCAGGAGCAGCAGCAGCAGCACAGCCCCCGGGACGACGACGACGGAGAGCCAGGAGCGCATCTTCCCCGAAGGCACGCCGCCTGTGCCGGGGGAGGAGGAGTGGGAGGGGCCCCAGGGATGGCGTCAAGGCCAGCCCCCTTCGCCGCCCCCCCCCGCAGTCCGCGTGACGTCACTTCCTCGCCGCCCGTGCCGGGGGGGGGGGGGGGGGGGGGGGGGCGCAGGGAGGAAGGCCTGGCCGGGCGCGCGCTGCAAGGACGCCCGGAAGGAGAGCCAGGAGGAAGGAAGGAAGGAAAGGAGGAGGTCGCGCACCGGTACACACAGGTACACCTTCACCACCACCCCCCCCCCCCGAAAGAGAGAGGGAAGGGAAGATGGAGGGAGGGAAGGGAAGGGAGAAGGAGGAAGGGAGGGAGGAAGGAAGGAAGGAAGAAGGAAGGAAGAAGGAGGTCGCGCACCGGTACACACAGGTACACCTTCACCACCACCACCCCCCCCCCGAAAGAGAGAGAGGAATGGGAGGGAATAAGGTTCCAAGAGAGAGAGAGAGAGCGGGATGGATGGATGAGTGGATGGGTGGGGGAGGGGCAGAGAGAGAGAGAGAGAGAGAGAGGCGCCTTCCTTCCCCGATGGCGCCGAGCCGAGGCCAAGCCCCTCCCCCCTCCCTCCCCCTCCTGGAGGAGCCCCGCCCCCACGTGACGTCACGCCGAGCCCCCCACACACCCACCCACCACAGGCCGAAGCGAGGCGAGGGAGAGAGGGGGGGGGGGAGGGAGGGAAGGAAGGAGGGGGATGAAGGAAGCATGGCGTGTCCCCGGGGTGGGGGGGGGGGGCCTCCCTGCACCTGCCTGCCTTGCATCATCAGCAGCATCATCATCAGTATCAGAGCGAGAGAGAGAGGGAGGGAGGGAGGGAGGGGCCAGGAAGGGCCACAGGCGGCTCTCGGGGCCCTCGAGGTTGGGAAGGAGGCAGGCAGGCAGGCAGGCAGGCAGGTGCCCCCGGGTGGGTCAGTCCTTCCTGGAAGAGAAGGGAAAGGAAGGAGCCAGAATTGGAGGATGGGAAGCAAGGGGAGGGCCGAGGTTTGAGAGGAAAGAAAGAGGGAGAGAAGTAGGAAAGGAGAGAAGGAAGGGAAAGGAAGGAAGGAAGGAAGGAAGGAAGGAGAAAAGGAAAGAAAAAAGAAGAAAGGAAGGGGAAGAAGGAGAGAGGAAGGAAAGAAAGAATTAGAAATAATATAATGGAAATGGAAATACAATACGAGTATTTCTCATCATAGTGAGAAATGATATGATCAGGTAACCTATGCCGGTCTGAGTCCCTCTACAGAGGTAGAGAATCATAGAATCATAGAATCAAAGAGTTGGAAGAGACCTCATGGGCCATCCAGTCCAACCCCATTCTGCCAAGAAGCAGGAATATTGCATTCAAATCACCCCTGATAGATGGCCATCCAGCCTCTGCTTAAAAGCTTCCAAAGAAGGAGCCTCCACCACACTCCCTCCGGGGCAGAGAGTTCCACTGCTGAACGGCTCTCACAGTCAGGAAGTTCTTCCTCATGTTCAGATGGAATCTCCTCTCTTGTAGTTTGAAGCCATTGTTCCTGCATCCTAGTCTCCAGGGAAGCAAAAACAAGCTTGCTTCCTCCTCCCCATGACTTCCCCTCACATATTTATACATAGCTGACATGTGTCTCCTCTCAGCCTTCTCTTCTTCAGTCTAAACATGCCCAGCTCTTTAGGTCCTGTAGTTCTGTTTTGTTTGTATGTTTCTTTTTATTTACTGTCCTGATTTTAGAGTTTTTTTTTCTTTAAGCCACTCCTCATAGGGCTTGTTCTCCAGACCCTTGATCTGCTCCCTCCTCCCTGTGGCTTCCTCTCACCTATTTATACATGGCAATCATCATGTCTCCTATTAGCCTTCTCTTCTTCAGGCTAAACATGCCCAGCTCCTTAAGCCACTCCTCATAGGGCTTGTTCTCCAGACCCTTGATCTGCTCCCTCCTCCCTGTGGCTTCCTCTCACCTATTTATACATGGCAATCATCATGTCTCCTATTAGCCTTCTCTTCTTCAGGCTAAACATGCCCAGTTCCCTAAGCCGCTCCTCATAGGGCTTGTTCTCCAGACCCTTGATCATTTTAGAAGGAAGGAAGAAGAGAAAGAGGAAGGGACAGAAAAGTGTGGGAGGGATAAGGAAGGAAAGAGGTAGAGAAGGAAGGAAACCAGACTGAGGCCACAGTGAAGCGTGGCTGGGGACAGCTCCTTATAATAATAAAACTATATTTGTATAAAGTTGGGAGAGACTCCTGGTGGGCCACCATCATCCAGTCCAACCCCCTTCTGCCAAGGAGCAGGGAAATCACCTTCAAAGCCCCCCTGACAGATGGCCGTCCAGCCTCTGCTTCAAAGCCTCCCAAGAAGGAGCCTCCGCCATCTCCTAAAAAGGGGTTTGGGGCAGCCTACGAAACAGCACAGCTCATGCCAGAACACAGGCATAAATACAACCATATCCATAAGAGTAACAATGGACATAGATAAAATTACTCCACTCAAATTAATTCAAAGGCTCAATGAAATGCAGCAATCGCTGCTGATTTAAAATGGGGTGGTAAGAGGAGGGGGAGATGGCACTGACTGCTGGCAGAAGGGGCCACCCCACTGTATCCCCCTCCCCATGCCTGGGGCGAACCCCGCTTGAGCCTGGAGGAAAGGCCAATCCAAGGGCCCCACTAAGGTGACTTTGCTCTGGCCCTTCCACGCAAATGAGGGGGGGGGGCCTCCAGAGAAGGGGGTGGCCCTTGGGAAGGGGGGAGGCGTCCCACACAAAGGGGCCGGCCAAGAAGTTCTAAGTCTTGGAGGGAACCGAAATCC